TCCCGCATTGGCAGTTCAGTTCAAGGTTACCGCCGCTGTGGAAAAAAGGGATGGACCCTTTTTTGCCGGGGAGTGTCAATGGACGTGAACATTGAACGTTTGTTTTACTGGGTCTGGCAGCCATTGGCAGGCAATCGAAGGCGCGAATGGAACGATCTCTTGCAAGTTGAAAGAAGACTGGAATTAAATACGAATAAAAGTACTTTATAACTTCATTTGTACATAACATTTGTTTGCAGACTTTGTAGTTTTCTTCAATTTAATTGCCAAACAATATAATTTCGTTCGAGGAATACTGGTGTTTTGGATTTAAAGTTGAAGAAAGCTCATAGTATTTATCGGCTCAATCGCTTAAGTCTTCATTACGATAGGAACTTAGGGCTAAGTTCCTTGACAGAGTCATTAAGAGGTTTTAGTGAAAACACAAGGATTTTCAAACATCTGTTCAGTCCCAGTTTAAGATTATTCTAAATTAATTCTTACCTACATTGTGAAGGATTGTCGAACTGAGAATCTTCAGGTTGTTAAGCAGATATATAGAAACATTTTGATGAACAGACCAAAACTAGGACCAATCTCTTATTGAATGCTCTTCTTTGTCTTCCCATGATTCTTTGACTGATTAATGGTGAAATCTAATCTGAATACTATTAATTCTTCTTAAATACAAAGCCTAAGCCCTATTATCGGCTTCAAACGTAGTACGGACACTCTGTTTCTCAATGCTTACTTTTCTTTCATCGAAATGAAGTTCCCGTAGCAGCTGGATTGATTTTCCCTGATACGGTTGCTAGCCCCACGTCAAAAGTTCCTTTTACTTCAGCTCCCAACCGGTTAGTAAATTAGGTGAGATCAGATAGACAGAAACGATAGGCAACGAGGAATTCTGGTGGTGAATTTGCCAAGAACCCAATAAATCAGCTAAAAGAATTGCAGATGGAATTGGCATAATCTGAAAATGTCGTTGAGGTGGTGTCACGTTCATGACCGTCTATTGGAAATGGAGTGGGAAAAGAATGATGAGGTGGGAGTTCGCGGATGACATGGAGGCTGTGTTCTGTTGAAGCCCCATGTTTCACTCGGAACCTAAGGGAACAATTAATAAAAATCAATACATAATCTAAATATTCTCAGTTTTCTATCAACTGGCTTGTCATCTTTGCGCACCCAACTAGTGGGTGCCACATACACATACACACACACACCTCAGTATCAGGTATAAAAGTACAGAATTAACTTCTAGAATGTTTATTAATGTTTTATACATATGGAATTGTGGTTATCATTCTTATTTTACAAACCAATACTTGAATATCAATGAGATGCTCACTGGCGACTGGCCCCATTCAGGTGGGTAGTTAGCTGGGGTTCCAGTGGGAAGTCGTGACCAGTGGGGTACAGCAGGTCGGGTGTGAGGACATTGGCTAGCGGTTGCGCTATATCGTGAATTGACAGAAGTTAGAATTCATGGGCCATTGGATCGGGTCCCAGTGGCTGAATGGTCTACGAGCTCGCCTTGTAACCAGAAGGTCCTGGGTTCGAACCCCAGTGGATGCGTACCCAAACTAGGACAAAACAGCTGTCCAGTACTCCCAGGTTTTCAAATGGTTCTCTAACTAATGTCAGCTCATAATGAAATCCTGTAACCAATCAATCAAATCCTTACAAACCAATACTTAAATAATTTTTTATTATTGATTTTTAATTCAGTTTTTTGATTTTCCTACAGACTGACTGGACGGAATTGTTCGGCCTCTGCTTGCATGTTGGCTCTTAGTGCGGAAAATTCAGCAGTTGGTATCCGCGATTAACTTGGATGGAGTCCCAAATAGGACGAAATGTGCATCCTGGATTCTACTGCTAATCACCATCCTCCAAATTACTTTGACTTTTTTAAAATTACTATTACGTAACCAGTAATACAAATTTATTAGTTTCTGTTCATTTTCTTCTACTTTTTGATGAGTGTTCACTAGAAGCAGGTGTGTGAACGACGCTGTGTTGTTGCTGTTGTTGCTATGGCTGACTAATTACTTCACTCAATACATTTTGTATGTCTGCAAATGAAGTATATATATATATATATATATATATATATATATTTAAATTCCGACTGTGCAGTTACGTAAATAAACTTGCTGAAAAGAGACTTTTCTATGAGTCATTTGCTTTTCTCTTTCTAATGCATCAGTCAGTGAAATCCACAACAGTTAGTTTAAGCCAGGCAGCCACGTAGGGAGGTGTAGACTTCCTGAATGGTTGGGGTCTTCGGGATGGTAAAAACCAATGAAGGCTGGAGACAATTGGTGATATGGCTCAAAATCGTTCTCAGTGACGCAGATGCATCCACTCCTTGCGACTCCTTGTGCGTTGGTGGCACAGTGGTTAGGACGCTCGCCGACCATGCACATGGTCTGGAGTTGGATCCCCAACCAATATCAATTGGTCGACCTGCAAAATTTGGGCTACTGATATCACATGCTGAAAATTACATACTTGTACCAATAATACGGTGTAAAATCAAGCTATAATCAAAAAACAAAAATAAATAAATAAATAATATCCAATAAAACTATATTGTTGTTTCATATTACTATTCTTTTTGCCTCATATTTCTGTTTATTATCTCTCTTTTGAATCTCTGTTTACTCTCTTCTCTTGCTTTGTGTGCTACATGGAGGGAGTGTGACAAGTCGAACTGCTGCACATCTGTGCAAAGTTCTGTGTTGAAAGCAGTCAGTCAGTCAGTGGATCATTGGGCGTCTTTTACATATTCTTTGGCTATTGGGTTTTAGCCTCAGCCAGAACACCATCACTCACTGAGGAATACAGCTGGATCCAGTTGGTGAGTCCCAAATAGGACGAAATATGCATCCTGGATTCCGCTGCTTGTCACCGTCCACCACTTTATTTTTTTTCCTTCACGTTCCCAGTGGAACATAGGGCCTCAAGCTTGTGGCTTGAAGTTTCTGTAGCAGTGTTTATTTTTACAGGATGGAGTTGCTAGTCTCATGCCCAACCTTTCCTCTTCATCAGCATTATTTCTGGCCTAGCGAGGTAAAGGAGTGCGTCGGCCGGGGACTGAACCCCGGACCATGTGCATGGTCGGCGAGCGTCCTAACCGCTATGCCACCGTTTTACTACATTTCTTAATTATTTTAGAAAACACACTGTTTGATAGATTCAAATAAGTATTTGAAATGTTATAAGATTTCAAATTCCAAGGATTTTAAGGCTTAATAGTTGATTTTATACGAAAATTAGTAACACCAAGATGGCTGATTAATAATTATTTTAAAGATAAAACAGATTTGAACATGGGGACTCTCAGTTATTTGTCCAGTACTCAGGGGCTAGTTATATAATCATCCCACTGAAATTATCCTGACTCATGCTCAACTATCATGTGAATAAGTGACACGGAGCTTTCTGTTTAACGTCACTGCATTAGGTGTTTAGATGGGTCTTTTCCTGTCAGTCAGTCGGTCCTAACCATGTTAAATTAAGAGAGGGGCAGGTTATTTAACTGACTGTTAGACAGTAATCTGAGATAATCTTGGGTGGGTAGACAGTTATTGATTTAGTGGGTCGCGGTCGGATTCGACCCATTGGCCAGTCTGGCGCTTTGTCAGTTGAAATACGAAACCTCTGTGATAACGAGGCCACCACTTTACTGCTGTTGTCACAGATGACAGCCAGTTTAACATTACCATACTCAGTGCCCAATAGCATCTTCTCTTGTCAATCCTAATGATACTGTATGATGACAGGGACAGAAGGATACTCAGAAGGGACATGAGTTCCTTCAGCGTCGCAGATACGCCTTGCTGACTGGTGAGTGCCAACTAGCACGAAACCTACGTCCAAGGCTTCCTGTGGCCGATTGTCTCCAACCATCTAATACCATCAAATCAACGTGCACCGTGATGGCGAGCTACCTAGAATGGTGGCCACATTGCAAACCTGACTGATAGAATTCAGTCTGCACCAAAGAAAGGACTAGACACGTCCACTAGTTACTAGTGTCCAATCAAAGGATACTGATCATTTGTCATATTGTTCCGACGAGCACATCTGAAGCAACAGTTAAATTTCATAAATTAGCTTCAGTTAGAAAACCAATTAAAAACTATAGAGTACTGGATAGTTGTTTCATCCTTTTTCAGGGCTCTTCATCAGTACGTATCCATATCTTCAATAGGAATTAGACCCAAGACCCACAGGTTACGAAGAGTTAAAATTCATGGGCCACTGGATTTCCTCCCAGTGACTCAATGATCAGCAAACTCGGATTCCATTCCTAGACAAAACATCCGTCCAGTACTTCCTGCTGGTTTTCAGCAGTTCTCTAACTGGAGTTGCAGCATAATTCGAGTTCTATCACAATTCAAGTTTCCATTTCAGCTTCATTTATCATCCATTACCTCAGTATAGCGTCTGTTAATCCAGAGGCTATCTGAAATATAATATCTCACCAGCAGTGACAATATTAAACAAGAATTCAAAAATTTAATCCCCAACGGAGGTACTTCTCCGAAAAAAACACAATAAATCTGGTTTGTTTCTCAGTTTGAATTACTTTTTTTCTAACTAACAGTTTTTTGCCTGTGTACCTACAATAAAAATAGCATAGCACCAAATTCACACCCCATTCTCACATGAATTTTACGCTTAGATTTATGTTCGCTGATTCTGATTGGTCAATTTGACTATGATTTGTTTTTTACAAATCATGACATTAAACAACAGACGATTGGTTTTCTGCTTTGTATTATGAAAATATGTCTACCCCCTTTCTTCTTACTTCTTATATTATCAGCTGGCAGAATGGAGAGAGAGAGAGAGAAAGGGAGAGACAAGAGGATGTTTGTGTGTGAGTTAAAGTGAAAGATGATTACTGCTCAGCTCATTACATGATTTGCTTATTTTACCAGTTGAATTATATTCATATACTTAATTATTATTTAAAGATGTGGAATAATTAGTAAGCGAAGAGGAGGGTGGTGGACAAATCAATTTCTGTTCTATTGAAGATCTTGTAAAAGTTGATCACATCGCATCCATACATCCATTCACCCACCCACCACCCATTTGCTTATTCAGCAGGTGTTTGTGTGTTTGGTGTACGTCTCACCTTGCTTCGTAGAATTTTTGATATATAAACGGACTCCAGTGAACCAGTCGTACACAATACGCGGTGGAATAATAATAATAATTCTTGCTGAGTACCCAAAATGGATTTCTTAAAAACATCATTCGGTTGGAATAATGCAGAGTATAATCAAGTGAGTTTTAATTTTTGAAAAATTTTAAGTATATAGACATTTCGACACTGACTAGCGTTAAAATAATCATAAAGATTCCTGGTTAGCAGATGAATGCCCTCACTTTTGATTCACCTGAAGAGGACTGAACTAGGACGAAATGCTTGTGTTCACTAATTTTCTAACCGTTATCGTTCAGTATTCTTTTAAAAAAAATTAGGACTCGATTCATGTGTTAACCTACGAATGTTAATTATACTACCCAGTTGCCTAGAGTAAACTAAGATGGAGTAGTGTTCGAACTCCAAAGACAAGTACTCAAATCATTAAGTCACTGTATTAGGGTATAAATCAAATCTGAAGACTTTTCACTCCCTTGTATCCATTAACTAATTTCATTTAGCTAAAAGAAACATCTGATGACTTGTTATTAGCAATATGCTCATTTCTTAGACATGAATTTGGAACTATTGACAGCATTTATGTATTTATTTATATAATCTGAAGTTTCTGTAGTAACTGAGATGACTTTCTGGGGTAGGGTTGCTAGTTCCATGTTCAACCTTCCTCCTTTTTTTCAGATATATGACCGGCTAGTAGGACTAGGGGAGGCTAATGGAAATTCATATGCTTTTTGATATTTTAGTCTGTTTGTTGAATGGTAAGATACGCATTACTTGACTTAGCAATCCTGAAATGGATCCTTTATAGGTTAGTTAGGGTACACTGATGAAGAGTTCATTTGTAAGTTCAAAACAACCTATCTGTTATTACTGTTATTATTCCCTTGGATTCCGAGTGGAACATAGGAGTGGATTTAACAACACATCTCAACTTTCTTCTATTTTCTGCTGTCCTCTTCAGCTGGGTCCACGATTCCCCATAATCTCTCATCTCCTCCATGTTACCCTCCCACCGACGACCCACTCATTACTCCCCTTTGGGATTCCACTTGAACGATGGCCTGCATTGAGCGCGATGTCATTCGATGGTCACCTCAACCAGTGTATGCCCTATCCATCTCCATTTTCTTCTACATATTTGTTGAGCCAAAGGCTCTTGGCTGGTTTGTTCCCAGCCAGAGTTTCTTTTTGTTAATTCTTTCTGGACGGCTGGCCGGCCATTTGAACTTCAGTAGGGAGCCAGACAGCGAAGGTGGCAGCTGTTGATAAAAGTCTGTAACTTGTTAGAAATGCTTTTCGTGACTCACGCTCAGTACAAGTTTCTGATCCGTATAGAAGAACTGACTGACCAACTTCACATTTATGCTTTTTAGTTTTCTAGCCAGTCCCAAGCCCGAGTAAAGAGTGAGGGTTGGGCGTGGGGCTAGCGACTCTACACCACAAAAGCTATCAAACTGCTAGATAACCCTCAGAGCACAAGAAATGTATTAAAACAACCTATCTAGCTTACATTAATATCAGTCTTATTTCTTCAAACATAACATTTAGTTATTTCATGGTAAATTTAACAATAATATGGGGAGTGCACAATATTGTTTGTTTATTGACTTAAGTTCTGAACTTTCTGTCACTGACTACCTACCGGATTCGATTAACATTCCACCTATTTCAGCCTGGAAAACTGGGTAGTACAAGTGACCATAATACAATAAGTGTGTATGTGGTACGTGGAGGATCTCTTCGAAGTAACCTCCACGAGTTTTATAAATACAGTTAAATACACTCATGATAGGACATAGAAAATTCAGAAATGGTCTGGTCCAAATGGTCTGAAATCTAATTCGTTGCATCAATAAGCTACAGTTCAGTCTATTACTTAATTACTTGAAAATCTTTTGAATTTTTAATTGTGGATGTCTTACTATCAAGGATTTTTTAAATTCAAGATAGAGGCTTGAAGTTTCTGTAGCAGTGGTGATTATTTTTACAGGATGGGGTTGCTTCATGCTTCATGCTCAACCTTCCCTCTTTACCAGTCTTACTACTGGCTTAGCGAGGTAAAGGAGTGCGTCGGTGACTGGAAATCGAACCCCGAACCACCTGCGTGGTCGGCTTTAACAAGTCCAGAGATGACACGTTCACAAACAAACAGTAAAGTATTATTGAGTACCAGAGATCAGTTGGCAGTTCCTTTGACTTATTTAGGATTATTGAAGAATGTATCGACAGGACTATTCGATAACGAAGCGATCAAGATCCGCTTTTAGATATTTTATCATTCAGAACTGAATTGTTTGATCTGTTTATCTAATCATTTATCTTTTAATTATGCAATGGAACTTTGTGTACTGTCAGAAACTTGTTATGTAATAAGTAGGACTAAATATTTAGTAAACAAGTATCTGTGTCATTAAGTTCTAGTGAATAATACTGTAGTACTATCTGGTGACTGACTACTTAAATGAGTATATTTCATTAGTATGATACTACTAATATAGGTATATAAGTACATTACTGAATAACTGCATATATCAGCGTAGTTTATGCTTTCTGTGTAAGAGTTGGTGATATTACCTGGGTAACTGAACCTCTGTAGGTAGGACTCTACTAAAAATTATAGTCCAACGGTTCAAAATCAAGTATGCAACCGATTAAATCAGAGCATAATTTTGAAGTTAGCATTAGATAACAGCAATATCACCCGGTAGGTAAAGATTTCTCTTAAAATCTGAGTACTTTCAATGCATTCCTGACCATCGCATTTCAAAATATTGTTGTCATAGGCGTGACAAGAACATGGGTTAAAGATTTTCAGCATTTTTCTATTGTGTAAACTCCAGCAGTTATTTTATCCTAGTTAGGACTTTGCTACAGTACACTACCATGAGTCTATCATGGATGGAATGTAGGGAAATCAGATGTTGAAACTAAGTCGAATGTTAAATACTTTGGATTATATCTTTCCTCGTCTTCTTGCATTATATTATCCTCCAGAATGATAGTTCGTCTAACCTTCTACATAAGGAAGTTAAGACAATCTGATATCACGCAGTCTCTACTTTCTAAGTTTGTTAATTTTTCATATGCTACCTATTTTTCTGTACTAATCCTTCTTATTCTTACCTGGGCTACTTAAAAAAGACTTTGTTACATTTTGAAGGACATGAAAAGCTACCGGCAGGGTGAGTGAGGTGTCGCTTAGTCAACTTGTCAATACTGTTGTGGACGGAGACTTGAACTCATGTAAGAATATGGAGGATATCATCTCGTCGGACTCTGAGCACCCTTTTTATACACAACTCTCCTCTTTTATCTAATCAGGTAGAACTAGAAAGAATTATAAAAGCTTTATGCTCAGATCAGATACAGTATTATACCATATACTGAGAATTCCACGTACTATTTGGGATAACGCTATTATTAGTATTATCGATTTATTTCGTAATCTAACAGTATTCAGTCCTAGGCTGAGTAGTTAGTTGGCTGAAGATTCCCAGATTAGAATGAAAGAACTGGGCTATTTTTTGTCTTCAAAATACCTCTCTCCCTTATTTTTTAAGTGTTGGGTTATGGGAATTTGAGTGATCTCATTACAGACTGATAGCAGTTAGAGGACCAGTAAAAACTAAGGAGCAGTCGAAATTTGTTCCTTGGTACTTTTCAGAAGTGCACACTAATAACTAATCTACATGATGAGATCGACCATAGAGTTAATCAATAAAATGGGGATCACAAATCTCATTGTCTGTACTAGAATCTCCCTTCATCACCTTTCAGTCTTTGCAACTCAATTAGTATTACAGCTTTTCATACAACTTGTGTGAGTGATAGTCAAGAACATGAAAAATATGTTACGAGGAATGGAGACACAACTAAGGAATGAATTAATTAATGCAAATGAATAAACATTTGTATTTTTAATAGTTTTAATTGTTATTTAATTAATTCAAAGGGTTATTAATTATAGTATGATGAGATTACAGTGAAAATTTCTCCACTGGTCATTAATGACTGAATACGAAAATTTTTTTTACTGAAACTGGCCGATATATTGTTCACGAAGCTTTAGTATCAGGGTAGATGACATCGATTTGCCAGTTTCCCTATTTAACGAATTGACGACGTAAGATTCCCCCATAGTGAGTGACTGGATGTTAGGTATAGCAGGTTCATTCCGTGAAGTTATGGGTACGCACTGCTGAAGAGTTCCGGTCTAAGAATAAATAGCTATTCAGTCCTGCATGGCTTTCTGTAACTGATTTCAATTTTTATGAGGAAATCTACTTCAAATAGTAATTTTTTGATGTCTACGATTTCGAGATGTTTTCAGGTATTGGTTTATAGGGATTATTTGTTTGATTGGTTGGAGGACTTCATCATGAGCTGACATCACTTAGAGAACCAATGGAAGACCTGTTAGGAGTACTGAACAGCTGTTTCGTCTTACTTTGGGACTCTTCTTCTGTACGCACCCACCAAGGTTCGAACCCAGAACCTTCTGGCTACAAGGCGAGCTCGTAGGCATTGGGCTCGAACCCCTGTGGGTGCGTATTGCTGAAGAGTCCCCAACTAGGCTGACGAAACAGCTGTCTGGTACTCCCAGATTTTGACATGTGTTTAAAATATAAAATTTTACAGCATAGAAATAGTAGTTAATTGTAATTTTTTTACTGTAAACTATTGTGTCTGTCTAGGTGTCTGGAGGATAATGCTTGGGGAAGTGTGGTTCATTGACTTAAGGACTTGACTGTCAAGTCATAATCCCTAGCTATAAAATACCTGGACAATCCTTCATACCGTGAGTGTGGCTCATAGACTAGTACATATGAAAATCTTTTTCAGGCAACAGACTTCTAGTTATCTATCCTATTACTAGTTGAAACTGACTAGAATTTGAAAGACTTTTACGTACTACTTTGTAACAATTTATTAATACACAAAAGCATGACATGATTGATGGGTGAGACGTGAAACTTAAATAGAGCACCTGTTTACTTTTAAGTGGTTCTTTAACAGATGTCGGTTACTAAAGTAATTTGAATAAAGAAAGAACGAGCACATATTTGCAGGATAATACGAGGTCGTTTTTTCTCTCGTGAATTCTCTTCAACTGCCTGC